AAATTTTGTTTTCCACGTGTTATGATATACAGTGGATCGAAAGGATAAACTTCCTACGTAGTACGTAGTAGATACATTTGGAAAAGGATCATTGACCTTGTAAGCGGCGATCCTGGAACGTCGTGAGTCGGCTTCACCTGCCAACGAAGAAAGAGAGAAAGAGAGAGAGAGAGAGAGAGAGAGAGAGAGAGAGAGAGAGAGAGAGAGAGAGAGAGAAAGAGCCGGGGAAATAACGGGAGTCGATAGTTTCCCGAACACATACCTTACCTATGCGAACTCTTCGAACTATCGCGAAGTCGATCGGGAGGTTCGACTTTGTTTCAAGACATCCAGCGAATTCTTCAATTCTCGATTTACGATTTATCACCAGGATTATTATAAATCAACGAAAAAAAAAACTCCAAACTACCGACGTGCTGGACTTTGATTTATTTTTAAATAATTTTCGAAAAGTGTATCATACAAAAAATAAGAAGGATCGTCCGATTTTTACAATTTTTTGTTGTTATAAAAATAACCAACAAAAAGAGGGAGAGAGATTTGTTTCATTCTTTTCTCTCGCATGCTACAAACACATTCTATTTTTTTTTTTTTTTTTTCAAAACGATCGAGAAAGGCATATAGATAAGGATCGAACGAACGAACGATCGATCGATCGATCTTACGACTTTTCGTGGAAAATAACAAGGAACGAAGAAAGAAAAAGATAGATAGAGAGAGAGAGAGAGAGAGAGAGAGAAGGAGAGGGAGGAAAGTTTTCGAAAGAGTCGGAGAGGCACCCGTTCGTTCCCCACCCTTATTATTATCGTCGTTGTTCTTATTAATATTATTATTATTTTATCATCACGGCTGTCCCTGCGGGTATCCACGAAGGGTGATGGAACGAGGCTGTGGCAGTGGCGATGGTGATGAGGATGCCTCTCTCGAGAAAGAAAGAGGACCTGAGAGCCAGAGATGCAAAGAGCAGAAGAAGAAGAAGAAGACGAGAAGAGAAGAGAAGAGAAGAGGAGGGAGAGGGGAGAGGTAAGTTGGTACGAAAGAGAGAAAGAGACAACAAGTGGAACGAAGAGAAGAAGAAGAAGAAGAAGAAGCGGAGGAAGACGAGGAGGAGGAGGAGGTTGGTCAGAGGGAAAGAGTACCTACGCATTGCAGCAGACATTATGCTAATCTGCGAGCGAGGATGTATGCCCGATAAGCCGCCTGTGCTTCGGTATATAAGTCCCCTTCTGCCAGCAGTGAAGCCCAGAGGCCCCACGCCCTCGATCTCACGTACATGTACATTACTCTGCACGTGTACGTGCGTGCCTTACATTACGTTACTTTACTCCGTAAAGTAACTTTCTCTCGCATACTCGCATGTGCTCATCCCTCTCTCTTTTTCTCTCCCCCCTCTCTTTCTTCTCTTTTCTATCCAGTGTTTTATCTCGTTCTAACGGAATCCTGGAAGAGTATTTGGATGTTCGAGCTTGGAAGTCCCGTTCAAGGTCGATCCTTCCACGAATTTCTTATTACTATTATACGAACGTAGCGGGGAGAGAGAGAGAGAATAATGTTTCTTCGAAAAAGGAAACTATTTTTTCCACATTTTTTTGGGGAGGGGTTAAACAAAAAAATTAGATTTTATTTTTTTTAGTCGACGTCTTATCACGTGGCGGCGACGACAGTGGTTGTGCTGATGGTGGTGGTGGTACTGGTGGTGGTTCCTTTTGAATCACTGCGCTCTCTGCCCTGAGCTTTGCATATATCGCGTGCTATAATTCAGGGTATATAACGTGCGTTTACATTTTACAAGAAAAATGCGGAAGAACGCGTTACTCGCGTAGAATCTGCCTCTCTTCTCCTCTCCCCCCCCCCCATATCCATGCCCGTTGTTGTTTTTCTCTTCTGATTTATTTTTTTCTTCTTCGAAATGAACGCACACACAAGAACACACGCTTACACAGAAAATCGTACGTATATTTTGGTGTGGTTGAAAAAAAAAACGCATACATCGAAAGCGTAGGTAGAGATACGTACATCGAATACGCGTGACCGCGGCTAATTTTAACATCATTATCTTTGTATGCGCGTGGTCGAATGGATTATGGTCTTCGCGTGAGCGCCGTTTCAACATCGCCGATGAGAGTTTTCTCCTTCCTTTCCTCTGCCACCCTCCTCCCCTCCCCTCCCCCCACCTCTCTTTCTTTGTATTTCGTATTATCTGTAACGAGATTTGCAAGGAGGTTGCCATGGCACTCTAGATAACGCGTTTTAGGAAGTAATTTAACAAACCTCGCGATAATCGTTTACGTAATTTGCAGAAAGCTTTAATGCTTAGGGAACCACAACCCAATAAACCAACCAACCAATCAACCGACTGCTTTACCTGGACTCTAATAGTATTCGAAAAATCAATACAAACGTATTTCCCCTCCCCCGCCCCACCTCCTACCTATAACTATAGTTATAGTCTCTACCTGTATTCCTATCCTCTGGTGGAAAGACACATCGGAATAGAATTCCTCCAACCGAATGGGTTGAGTACTTTCAACGATATGCTAATTGAGTTCGAACATTCAGATTATAATGGTAGACATTTTGGATTGACGATAAATCTCGTGAAACTCCTTTAACCGATGTCGTCGGCAAGACTGTCTCCTCTCTTTTCTTGGAACTCAACTGAACACCCCTTTCCTGCCTTTTTCCCCTTTCCCCCCCCCCCAATAACTCCCCATAACTCGTTCTTATAAGGTCAACTGCGGAAAAGGGAGACGATTCATTGAAAAAAAATTCGCACAATTCACCTATCCTTTTGCAACGCACCGATCTCTTTTATACGAAACCTCAACCCTCCCTCCCTCTCTCTCTCTCTCACCATTGCTCGTCTTCCCCATTCTTCACCCCTCCACCCTTTTTTCTTCTCTCTATCTCTTTTTTTTTTTTTTAATGCTATAGACTTCGCGCGGGCCATTCGACCAAAACGATAAATCCACTTGGGTAAGACGTTAAAGGTGACTAATTATCACGAGATATACAATGACATCAAAAAGAGGGACGAACTTATTTGAATACAATCGAAACCAAGGATATCCATTTTCTTACATTCTCCGAGTCGACGAAAGAAGGACCCCCTCTCTCTCTCTCTCTTTCTTTCTTTCTTTCTGTCTTTCTTTCTTTCTTTCTATCTTTACGTACTACTTTCTCCTAAGAATACTGACACTACGTAGGAACCTGACTTAACTCGTGAATCGATTAAGAATTACCATGGATCGGCTGGAAATAAAAATGTTTATCATTTGTTTGTAATAGTAATTTTAGAATCCTAAAATTGTTGCATTTAACAAAAAAAAAAAAAGAAGAGAAAAGAAAAAGAAAATTAAAGTAAAGTAAAATTGATTGAACAAAGAATCTAACACGATTTTTCTTTGAAATCTATTATAAAATTTCCTTAAGCATAATTACACTATTAGAATTATTATAATAACAAGTTTTCATTCTCTGTTGATAGATAATAAGGAAGAAAAAGGGGGATGGGAAAAAGAAAAGTGTAATGAAAAACTTTTGCTTTCGTTGCAGTTACGCGATTGTAAAGTTTGACGCACGCACTCAGCACACTACTGACTGACGTACGTTAGGTTGAATAATCATTTGACGTTTGCATCGAATCGTAGTGCATTCTTCCATGCACTCTCTCTCTCTCTCTCTCTCTCTCTCTCTCATCGTTCGACATGGCACGTACCGATCTACTTAATAGTCCCCGTCAACGCTTCGAAGTTAACCTCAGGACCACTGGTTGGCTGGCTGGCTTTACGACCCGTTGACTATCCACGACGATGTCCTGAATCATTCCGCGTCTCTACTTTCATTCAAACGCACAACAAATCCTAGGCAAGAACCAACGCTTCTCTATCGCGACCTATAATCTTCGATTATCTTTACCCACGAAAATAAAACGAGTTAACATTTACGATACCCCTACATCCTTGTTCCTTCTATCTTTCTAATGTTTTTATTTCTTATTATCTTTTTTCTTTTTTTTTAGAAAGAGAAATACAATAGAGAAAACGACCGAGCAAAGCGTGATCTATCTATCTATCTATCTATCCATCCTTATTCTCGTTCGATTATTTTTTAAACAAATATTTCAACGTACACTTTTATCAACAATGCGTGACATAATTGTTGATTCAATAATCGTTGGAATATATTTTCTACAAAAACAAAAAACAAAAAAAAAACAGTTACTATTATACGTAACAAGAATCGTGGCAGGAAGACACCGTCGTGGTATTCGCAACGAACAAAATTCATACGAAAAAGGAATTTGTGATCTTACAAATATGACTTAATGAAAATTAATGAGATTTTCCTCGAGGAACGAACGAACGAATAACATTTTCCTTCTCACTTCTTTGTCATTCCAATGCGAATAAAAAGGAAATAGGAGAAAAAGAAACAGAAGAAGAAGAAGAAGAAAAAGAAGAAGAAGAAGTATACGTGAGTAAGTAAAAAAGTCGAGTCGATTATGCAGTTGTCTCTTGGGATACGTGTCAAAGAGAGTAGCAGAGATAGAGAGAGAAAGAGAAAAAGAGAGAGAAAGAGAGAGAGAGAGAGAGAGAGAGATAAGAGAGAGGAGACTCGGGAGGCGCGAGTTCAGTTGCTCGCTCGCGCGCAAGGCAGAAGTATCCGAGACAAATCGCTACAAGGATACATAACTTTCCCGTCGGAAGGGGTTTCTTTGCGGTTATGTGCGAGAGAAGGAAGGGGAAGGGGAAGGGGAGACGGAGGCGGAGGTGGAGGTGTAGGACGAGGATAAAGATGGGGAGGGAAGGAAAGAAAGAAAGAAAGAAAGAAAGAAAGCAAGCAAGCAAGAGAGAAGGAATGTCATGCGATGTGTCCGGCCAAACACCGAACAGCATAGACTTAAGTTGCGCCAAGGCAACCAAGCAACCACCCCCGTTCCCTTCGCCAATCCGTTTATACCAACGACTACTAAACAAGTACGCAAGTAGCTGGGACTTGGGAAGGAGGAGGAGGAGGAGGTTTACCGCGAAGCTTATATTGCGGTAAGTGGGCAACCATTGTCCCGTAGTAAGTAACGGCCCGGTAATACTATTTTCCTATTTCTCGCACCAACGTGTCGTAATCCACGAGTTTATCTATCTTTCTCTTTTCCTACCCTACCCCCCACTACCCACCACTACCCCTCCCCCAGAGAAAATCGACACACCTATTGGCATCTTTTCCTTCATTTTCCCCTCTTTGAAAGACACGTCATTTATTTCCCCAGGGTATACTTTACCATCTTCGACGTTTTACGAGAACCATTATTATTCTAATCTTTTTTTTTCCCCTATTCCTTGACTTTTAACCCCCCCGCGTTTGCCGTTCCTTACTCCTATCTATTATATCTAATGTAAGTAAGATGCTAATATTAAGAAGAGATTATTTACACAAATGAGGATGATTTTCTTTATATATTTTACTCGTTTACCGTATTTGAAATGTAGTTTTTAAACGTTACCGACACATGCGTGAACACGCGATTCGAGTGAGAGAATGTGCTCCGTTCAATTTCATCGCCATGTATTTTTTTCAATCTCATTTTCATATACCACACGTATATTCCTCTCGAATAAAAATAGGGGTGTGGCTGTAATAAGAAGCCGAATAAACAAACGAATTTGAAAAACGAATTTGCGCGAAGTTAGTATCGCGTTACGAACCAGTAAGTAAGTAAGTAAGTAAGTAAGTAAGTACTTCCGTTGGATTTCCACGAATTTAGAAAAGGGCCAAGAGGTCTTCTGGTGGTACAGATATTCGGGACGAGAGGCGATGCACGTTTAAGATCCGAGTTGCATTATTTCCGGTCGATTCTCTTCCAACAGGGTATCTCGTTACAGCGGACTTTATTCGGGCTCCAATCTGCGCAATTACATCTCGGAACGATATCAAAGGTAGGTACGTTCGTTTTCTCATGAGCAGGCAGAATCAAAGAGAGAGAGAGAGAAAGAGAGAGAATCTGTGCAATCGGTAGCCATTCTGTTCTCCTTTTCTTTCTCTTTTATTTCTCTCTTATTCCGTTTCCCTGTGCACACATATTCGGTCTAAGTCTCTTCAATCCTTCACTACTACCATCACCAGCATCATCTCAGGTGACTTCCATAAATTACTTGGCAAGCTTTTTGGGAAGTTATACCAAGTGTCTTCTTGGTCCAGCAGAGAGTACCAACTAACGTTGGACCTGGCGTCAGTTTGAGTGTGCAATTCCATGCACTGCGCCAAGGACTCACATATAATATATATATATATATATA